CCTGTCACCTCCCGCTACTACCACACGACCAGGGAATAGGGTGTACTCATAGACAGAGCATCATATAAGCACCATGCTTACACGTGGCTCGGCTACTTAGCCTAATCGGTGTTGGTATATTTAACGCACATATATAAATCCGCAAGCGCACGGATACTGCTATAGCTTTCACCCGGAAGTATTACAAGTATCGTATCCATAGGAAAACATGTAAGACTAACTATGGTCTAACTTAACTAAGGGTAGCAATAAGGTTAGGATGAATAGGAGTGTATAGAGGAAAACTAAGGTTCTCTAGTTCTCACTTGGGTAAGCTATGTCTTCTACTATTCAACTAGGGACATTACTTAAGGAAATGCACCAACAGAGGATGCTTTCCGTAGTAACAGCGTCCTACTTGCCCTACAAACAAGAGGTGGACTACAGAGGATTCAATGAGGCTATAAGACTCACCCTCGCGAGCTACCACCGATCTAGAATGTAGGATGCATCCACAAGTAACTAGAGTCTAAGCACCATGCTTACACTACAATTACTACTTATTTTTCCTGGATAAAGAATAAAGCACTCAAACGAGTTGTGAACTTGATGAATAATATAAATAGGAAGCTTACTTGAATTAGAAGTTGATTACCAAAGACATCTCGAAGGCTAGCTCAGATAGAACTTGAATCTGCCAAGGTATAAGCCATAGAGAGAGCACCGATAGGCTGGCATCTCCTCCAAACTCTTCCCTCACTCTCCATCACACTATTAATTACAATACTAGATCCAATGGAGGACTAATCTTCTCTTGATAGCTGGCTATAATCCTGATGAGGAGAATATGAATTAGGGTTTCAGCATGGCTCCAGGGAGGGGGGTAGGGGCTGCTATATATAGGCCAAGGTGGAGTAGGGGGCAAGGAATCACCATGTCATCGATCCGCGTCAACTCCCTTGATCACCGTTGGATGAACCAACTTAAATAAATGGCATAGATTTAATCCTTAAGGCCGTGGAGAACCGATGGCACAATAGGGGGCTGACATGTGGGTACAGGGGGCCAGCCAGCCCCACCTATCATGCTCCTGTAGTCTTCTTTAGTGGTTTGGCTTATGGTATCCTCTGGAACCTTCTAGAGTTGTTTTCGTCGCGTATAAGCGCGATTAATTCTGACGTTTAGGTCCACCTTGACGGGTTTCTAGATAAACCCTCCTGTATTCATAGATTCACCAAAACTCATGGAATTTATTAGTTTAAACCCCTATACCTATGTTTGGTGATTGAATTAAGTATATATGTAGGATATGTTAGACGCTTTATAATTGATGTTAACGACCGTCAACAACCGGTAAACTAGCAAGCTAAGCGCTCTGTGAACTGACGCACTTGGTTTTCCAAAGAATACCAAGTGCTAACTATATGTGTGCCTAGGATGTCCACATGACACATATAGAGACAAATACGTAGAATATCAAGAACAATGATTTATTATATATCGAACATAATTACTACAGGACTTACAACTATTACAGAAGCATAGCGGAAACTATTCTTAATCTTCTCCTTGGGACTCCATACTCCACAGGGACGGTTGATTGGGGGAAACACTCACCTAGTACTCATGGACTCCACAAGAAACTCTTCACTTGATCCACCATCTGGTACCCATCTGGGATTTTTGTTGATAGTAAAGCAAGTGTGAGTGCACCATACTCAACAAGTATAACATGAGGGGATGTAAGGCTCAAAAGGCTAAACACGACTGAACTACGGTAAGCACTTTTAGTTGGTCATATTTTATTTGTTAAACTTGTGTTGCTAGGTTATGCTTAAACTCCCAAGGTGAAGGTATATTTAACATCAAGGTTGATCATATCCCAAACCATCCATAGAACCATCTATCTCAAAAAGGATCCAGGCCGCTCGTGTCCATGAGCATGGCTGATATATTAGTTTTATACTCTACAAAGTTTGTACACTTTCACCACGAGCCATGATTGCCATTTGCCCGAAGTGATCAGCCTCTTGACTCACTTCAAAGATAAGTCAGCAGGGATCACTACGAAGCTTTTCACTAGTCATTCTAATAAGTAGCAGCTGCTAAGGTTTTAGCCGTCTATCCGTATGCAGCCCTTCTCTAGGAGTGGCACTTATGGTCGCGGCATAGTACACACCCTGGTAGGAAAAGAAACATATCAACTAGTGCCCCCTTCTTGCCCTTTTGGTAAGCTGCTGACGAAATAGAACAGATCAAGATACTAGGCTAAGACCAGAGCCATGTAGTTCTCATGGCTGTATGGTAAGTCCTAGGCTACCGCTTTAAGATTTAGTCCTTACGGAGGGCAGACTAGAGCACCCAAAAAGGCCCAATGCACTAGCCCCCTTCTATCTATGTTGCTAAAAAGCATCTTTTAATACCGTGTTGCATATATCTTTAATTGTATTCTTTAGTCAATATTAGTTGGAGCAAGCTGAGCATACTACCCACATGCAAAACCCATAGGTAAATCAAGGACAAGATAATCAATATCAAGGTAAATAGACTCTAGGCGGTTCATCAACATATGCATATGAATTGAGATTGCATTAAAGTGAATAGGTAACAAGGAGCCTCATATTATACTTGCCTTAACTTGCTTTTCCTCCAAAGCAATATGCTCAAAAGCCTATAGTATTCAACTTTCAACCTTCTGCTTCTAATTCTCAGCTTCTAGTCTTTAGAGAACAGATTCTTAATCACCACATAAACCTCACTGTTTGACTGAACCATATATCACCACACAAGCATCCATACATGGCATACAAACAAGAATATATGAGAACAATACACCAACCAATAAAATAAGCAAAACGACGTATCGCTACGAACACACAAACACAAAAGACACGCTATATGCGATTCAACGAAAAAGCAACCATCGAGGGATTTTTAGTGCAACGGAAAATAAAACCTATCCCTTTAACTTATTTTAACTGTAGAAACACATGTAAATATTTTCGTTAATCAACTTGATTCGTTGCTTAAGAAATAGCGTAGTATAAAACCTATATTGACTTTATATTCAAAAAATGATGCAAGTGATAGTATTAATACAATTAACTTTTTAACTGCCAAAACACATTTGAGTAACATGAAAACCACTAACGCCACTGTGTAGAGCACGCCGAACAAAAGTAACGCGACAAGAATGGCTCGATATATAAAAAATAAAACATAATTTGCTTTTAGTACGAAAAATGGTGTGAGCAATAATATTAATCCAATTAATATTTGTGTTGAAAACTATAAATACAGGACATGGTATATAACATCGTCATCGCCTAGCATACAACGTTACAAAGCGAGCGTAGATTGGAAACATAATTAAAAACTAGATTGATTTTAATTAAAAAGACTATTAAATAAATGTTAATCAAATTAATATTTAATTATGAAAGCGTAACAAGGTAACATGGAACACATTGTCATGAACACGTATCACATGTTGCGATGCAATCGAATCGAAATAAAAAACCTAAATCGATTTTAATTAAACAACGATTAATTAATTATAAATACTATTAATATTTTAATAAAATAAATTCATAAACATGTGACATATAAACTAATAACTCTACCGCGTAGATTTTGGCGACACGAATCTAACCCAATTTGAACCACTTAAAATGGAATTAAAACAAAGTAAGAACGGAGATTAAATGAACCAGTGGCAATTCTGTAATTAGCATCATCTTCTTCCTTGCCTTCTTGGACATGGCATTGGCTGTCTGCTGCTTCCAGCTCACATGGGGAGGGAGGGCCTGGCCAGGGCTTGCCTGGCTGGCCAGACAGCGGCGGCATAGGGCCGCACGGCGTAGGGGCCCACGTGGGCTGGACCTGGGCCGGCTCAACCGGTGGCTGCCGGCCACTGTAGGCACGGCCTGCTCCCTGCTCTGCATGCGCTAGGGCTGGGAGCCGGTGCGTAGGCGCATGGGCAGGGGGCGCGTGGTGGGGCCCTTCGGGTGGCGGTGCGGGGCCGAATTGGCGTGGCCTGAAGGGAGGAGGGATGGAGATGGCTGGAGAAGGAGAGGGGAAGGACCATCCATGGAGCTCCTCACCGGGAAACTTCACCGAAAACAATGAAACAAAGGGGAAACAGTCAAACGGTGATGGATTCGATAAAAGGGATGCACTACGGTGTAGAGGACGATGAGATCTACCTTGTGGTGGTGGTGGTTGACGCCAGAACGCGTCGGTTTTTGCCGGAAAAGCTCGCCAGGAAGTTCATCGGAAACCTAGCTGTTCTGAACTTCGGCGTCCGATGTAGGGAGTTAGGAGCGGCGACTGCGAAAAAGGGTTGTACTTTTGGAATCAGCGCGTCGAGACAAACATCGGCATATATATACACAGGGTTTGGAGATTTTGGAAAGTGGAGATATTTATTATTTTTAGGAATAATTGATTTTTGAAATTAAAATAATTCTAGAAAAGTCTAGAATTACTATTTAGGCTCCGAAAAATATCTCTGAGCTCCGAAAAATTCTATAAAAATTCCTAGGGATAGATGGAAGGATAAGGAACACAACCAAAAGTGGTTTTAGCTCCTAGAAAAGACTTTTGGATTGATCGAGGAAAAAACAAGCTCCAAGAAATAGGAATTTAATCCAAAAAGGTCAGAAAGATTCGCGGAAAGAGAGGCATCGTTCTAACGTGTCTTAAAACCTTTTCCAAGCCTTTGGATTTTAAAAACAAAGCATCTTATCTAACTTTTATTTTTGCAAGTTTTCAAATTCTTTTAAGCCACTACTTGAAAATAATATTTTGAAGGTTGAGATTTGAATTTATTTTCCAAACCACTCATCACAAAAGTACCAATGCAACGGCATGTATGCGCAAACATGTTGCTACCCTTATGTTTGATTTTAATTTTTAGAAAATTTCCTTTTACATATGTTTTTATGAGCACAAAACAATTAACAGAAACAATTTTACTCTTTTTAGAAAGTAACTAATTTTAGGGTGTTACAATTCATTTTCTAGCACCCCGACTGTAGAGGGGTCATCCTGTTTGGGGCTGCCGTGAACAGGTCCTGCGCCGTGTTGTACGTCCTGTTGAAGTCGGTGCAGGTGGGCATGGCGGCCAGGCAGGCCTTGATCCGGTCCCAGCGTCCTGGCGCATCCAGGCGGGCGTGCAGCCAGCCCGAGTAGTTGTCCAGGTCGTACTCGAGGAACTCCCGGCTCGGCACCCGGTGGCCCGACGAGCCTGTGGTCACCGCGAAGACGAAGACGACGAGGCACGCCAGCGCCACGATGATGACAAACATGGCCACAAGGTCGGCGAGGAGGAGCCATGGTAGGCGCCAGAAGGCGGCCATGAAGCCCGCGAGGCCGACCGTGAGGACAGCCACGCCAAGGGCAATCACTGACCACTAGAGGATTTGGACACAGGCGTTGTCGTCCTGTGTCAACAGCCAGATGCCGGCGGCGATCACGGGGATGGACAGTAGCGCGGCCACAATGTTGATGGCGGCGACGCCCATGTAGTTGAGCGCCATGGCTTAGCTACCGCTCCTAGTCCTAGCAGCTCAGAATGAAATACGACAATACATACATACATACTACAAAGTGTGGCCGGCCGGCCAGCCTCCTTTGCGAACAGTACCAACACATACATACAGGGCCTATACATGCCCATTGCCATGTGGTAACACTTGTTCACCACGCCATAAATCGACCAAGTAGAACATGCCAATCAAGCTTCACAACAACATACTGTTGGAAACCAAAATCCTCATCCAAGTCCATCAAATCAAAATGCACACCTGGGACTGGGAGGCGGCGGCGGCGGCGCGTGCCGCAGCGGAAGAGTAGGAGCAAAGGGAAGAAGAGCAGCAGCAGGCGGCTGTGGCGTGGATACGCATGGCGACGAAGAGGTTCGCGTGGAAAAAAAGAAGACTGCAGAAAAAAAAAGTCAAATGGGACTAACATTTGATTTTTTAAAAGTCAAATATTAGGAACTATTGGAGATGAACTTCTTTTTTTCTCCTAAAACCTTTTTAGGAGTTGGTAAACATAGACTTTTTAGGAGGAATATTTAGGGAACTCTTGGAGATGCTCTTAGGAGCGGCGGTTGCGAAAAAGGGTTGTACTTTTGGAATCAGCGCGTCGAGACGAACACTGGCATATATATATATATATATATATATATATATATATATATATATATATATATATATATATATATATATATATACATGCAGGGTTTTGAGATTTTGGAAAGTGGAGATATTTATTATTTTTCTTAATAATTGATTTTTGGAATTAAAATAATTCCAGAAAAGTCTAGAATTACTATTTAGGCTCCAAAAAATATATCTGAGCTGCGAAAAATTCCATAAAAATTCCTAGGGATAGATGGAAGGATAAGGAACACAACCAAAGTGGTTTTAGCTCCCGAAAAAGACTTTTGGATTGATCGAAGAAAAAGACAAAGCTCCAAGAAATAGGAATTTAATCCCGAAAAAGGTCGAAAAGATTCTCGGAAAGAGAGGCATGGTTCTAACGTGTCTTAAAACCTTTTCCAAGCCTTTGGATTTTGAAAACAAAGCACCTTATCTAACTTTTGTTTTTGCAAGTTTTCAAATTCTTTTAAGCCACTACTTGAAAATAATATTTTGAAGGTTGAGATTTGAATTTATTTTGCAAACCACTCATCACAAAAGTACCAATGCAATGGCATGTATGCGCAAACATGTTGCTACCCTTATGTTGGATTTTAATTTAAAGAAAATTTTCTTTTAGCCATGTTTTTATGTGCACAAAACAATTAATAGAAATTATTTTACTCTTTTTAGAAAGTAACTAATTTTAGGGTGTTACATGAACCCACACACAAGAGTAATGATAACCTTTAACTAAGCGAGATATATATTCAAAGTAACCATAGCCATGTAGATAGAAATATGATAAATTGATAATAAATCTTACAAGATGTACAAGTGAAGATACAAGGCTTTATTGAGCCTCCAAGACGAGATCTGGAACTTGAGCATGAGCCCAACTTGACCCTCACCCCCTAGCTACTAATCTAGTATATTGGAGAGCTCTAGACATAATCCTCCTGGTGTGTGTTGATCTGAATGAGAGAGATGAATTAGGGTTTCCAAGATGGCTTCAGGGAGAGGGGTAGAGGCTGCTATATATAGGGGGAACCATCAATTCTGAGCCCTAGGATCAAACCGGCTTGAAACAACGGTGTAGATTTGATCTTTAAGGCAGTGGAAAACCAACGTACGAAGGAGAGACCGATAAGTGGACCCACTAGGCTAGTTTGCCTGTAGGTGGGGCCAGCCAGCCCCACTTAGCAGCCTCTTGGCTTGATCTTCGATGGAAAATCTTATAGAGTGTTCTAGAGTCTTCCCAAGTCGGTACCTTCGAGGATAAACATGATTTTTTTGATGAATAGGTCCTCCTTGATGGTTTTCTGATTAAATCCTCCTACATTCACAGATTCACCAAAACTTATGGAGTTTATTAATTTACACCCCTAGACCTATGTTTGGTGATTGAATTAAGTATATATGTAGGTTATATTGACGGTTTATGATTGATGTTAACGACCATCAACAAGCTCCCCCACACTTAACCTTTGCTAGTCCCTGAGCAAAGCCAAACTTAGTAATGGATCAGGAGTTGCTACAATGCTTTCATGCCTCAAAAATACACATGCGTTCAATTAAGAATTCTCCTCTAGATTAGAATAAACTAATCTGATTTTCAAAGTTACTCATATTACCCTCAACCATGGGGCTTCTTAGCCTTCACTTGGGTCTTGAGTAATTGAAAGATAGAATGATCAAGTCAAGCACTATGTCTCAAGTTCTTCGTTCCACCATTGTTCTAGAGTTTTTGTAAGTTTTCAAAATAAAACTCTAAGATTCCATTGTATGACACTCTCAAGTCTCTAAATATATGTGGTATTTGTGGATCCTCACCAAAGGCCATAATGATGTTATGCCCTTTTTCTCTTCCTATAACTAAGGCTTATGTGGAGTTCATAAGTAGGGAGAAAGCTATAGCATACTTGCAATGCATATATTGTAAAGTCAAACAATAAACCCAAAGAGAAATAAGTCATACAATCAAATCAAGATGTGCATGTGTATGGATATATGGTGGATATATATGGTGGCTATCCTAATTCTACTTTGCTCCTTAAAAACTTATCTCTGTTTTGAAACTTGGAAATATTTCTGCAAGAGAACAGGGGCTTTCTTTATTCATCTTTCTTCTCTCTTTTTTTAGGCGAGCATCTAAGTACCCATTGTTTTCAATATCTCGGACACTTTTGTGTCCATTTTTTCTCAACTCTTTTTCTTCTTCTTTTTCTGAATAACTTTTGCATAGCCCATGCCTCTTTTCTACAATAGAACTTTTGAGAGATAGCAACAAGAACTTAGAGCATTGATTTGGTGGAAAACCTATAAAACAATATTTTTAGTGTTACTCCCAGTGTAGGAGTAAAACATTTTTGGGTGGATCTAAATGGAAAGCATATTTTTGTGCATACTCCTAGTGTAGGAGTAATGCATATTTGGGTGGTGTGTACGTGATCTTGATTTCAAGAGCATGACAAATCTCTCATAAGGGTCAACAAAGCTCGACAAAACTCAATGCAATACAAGCAGCATATATGTGGAAGTTTTCCTAGCCTAAATATCATGTATGGCTCTGGTAGGAATTCAAGCTTTGTCACATAGGAACTCATCATGTAACATTTTTATGTTTTTTCAAAAGATAAATCTCTAGAACTTTAGTGTCACTCGGAACAAGATAAACAATAGCTCAGACCTTCTCATATCATATCCATCAATTATCGACTTAGATCAAGCATATGCTACCCACGAGTTTCAAGTTCAAAGTAAATCCTTATATCAAAACAATCTTATCCAAAACTCAGGAGAATTCAAGGCTAAAAACTAGGTACTTGAATGGAATTTCAACAGAGCAACTATTCATCATTTCCATTTTAAGAGATTATCTTTAGAGTCCTTTTTTATTTATTGAGCTCTTAAAAGAAATTAAATCAAACTAGACACACTCTCTTTATTTTGTTTTCATTTTTAGATCACACATTATAACTATATATATTTCTATAAAGATAACTTTTTATTTTGTTTTTAGTTATTCATCTTTTTTTCTAAAACAAACTAAGAATAATAAAAGGAAAATAAATACTTATCTAGATACATGGGGATGCCTTCTCCCCCAAGCTGGTTGTTGTTGTGGTTTCTCAACAAGGTGGCAAGATATGGAGGTGCTAGAACAGAGCCTCCCAATTTTGATTTTTGTTGTTCTGTTGTTGGCTGGAGGCTAGCCGTCTCGTGTCCCATGCTTACCTGCCATTGTGCATGATTATGTAATGTACCTTGTATGGTAGCATCTATCACTTCAATGGTTGCGAGTCTGTTGTTGAAGCGGTGGTAGGCCTCCTAAGAGTCATGATACCATCGGCTAGAGAAAGACATGTCCTTCCTGATGCCCTTGAGGTTGCTTCATAATCTTGCCCTTGATAGTCGTGGAAGTTTATTGATCGAGTACCTCGGTTCGCTCTTAAAGATGAGGATTCTTGAGGTGGCGCCTCCAGTAGTGGTGCTTCCAATGGTGGTGCACCTTATTTTGCCAAACCTGTCTTGGTTTTGAGTTTGATTTAGGTTTGACAGGTGCATCCTTTCTTGACTTGTTCCACCTCCTTGTTTAGCGTCTCGAAGTCAACCATCAGTAGTAGAAACTGGCGACATCTTGTGTGCATCATTATTGTCAGTTTAGAACTTTCACTTGTAGAATTTGGGGGGTCAACTCCCCCACACTTTGCTCAAAGTGTGTTCTGCTCATAAAGACATGGTAGAGATCAAGTGCATGGGCTCTATTGGTGGGAAAACACCAACATAACCAAAACTTTTTTATTCTTCTCTAACCTTAGGCACATTGAATCATGTTACAGTTGATGTTATGTGCATTGATTCTTACAATATGGGTGATAAGATTAGAAGGAAGATGATGAATGTGGCATTTGAATACATTTGTTAAAAAGAGTGGAGTTGCTTAACCTATGGAAGGACCGTCTATTTTTACATAATGTATCAAACCTTACATGATTATGGCTTTCTTCCAAGGACAAGATATCCAACATTTTAGCTCATTTGGTTAAGACTATGAGATCAAGAAAGTGGTGTTATGAACAAACTTAAGGAACAAGACATGTTGAGTTATTCAGGTTGGATCAAGCAAAGTTGTAACTCAAACATGTTTGTTTCTTTATTTATGTGAATACCAAGATCAAAGGAAAGCTTTTTAAATAACGAACACTTACCTT